TCGTCCGTCGTCGTTCGTCGTGCGTCGTGCGTTAACATTTGAACATTTTCAGCTTCTTCTCTGAAACCACTGAACCAATTTCAACCAAATTTGGCATATAGCATCTATGGGTGAAGGGGAACAAAAATTGTGAATTTCATGGGCCCTGCCCCCCTGGGGCCTGGGGGGTGGGGCAAAAACCACTAAAATTAGTGCAATCTTTAAAAATCTTCTTCTTTACTCCTGGACATCAAGCAGTCAAACTGTTTACATGATTGTAATCAGCATTGAGTCCTCTACCAAAATTGTGAAATTCATGGCCCCAGGGTCAGGGGTTCTGGTGTTAGGGTGGGGCTAAATAAGTATATAGTGAAATTTCATGAATTCTTTGAAAATCTTCTTCTCTGCTCCTGGGTATTAAATAAACTAACTAAGTGCATAGTTATGATGAGCAAGAGTGCCTCTACCAAAATTGTGAATTTTAAGGCCCCAGGGTCAGGGGTTCTGGTGTTAGGGTGGGGCTTTATAGATTATATAGTGAAATTTCATGAATTCTTTGAAAATCTTCTTCTCTGCTCCTGGGTATTAAATAAACTAACTAAGTGCATAGTTATGATGAGCAAGAGTGCCTCTACCAAAATTGTGAATTTTATGGCCCCAGGGTCAGGGGTTCTGGTGTAAGGGTGGGGCTCTATAAAATATATTGTGAAAAAACATAAATTCTTTGAAAATCTTCTTCTCTGCTCCTGGGTATTAAATAAACTAACTAAGTGCATAGTTATGATGAGCAAGAGTGCCTCTACCAAAATTGTGAATTTTAAGGCCCCAGGATCAGGGGTTCCAGTGTTAGGGTGGGGCTCTATAGATTATATAGTGAAAATACATGAATTCTTTGAAAATCTTCTTTTCTGCTCCTGGGTATTAAATAAACTAAATAAGTGCATAGTTATGATGAGCAAGAGTGCCTCTACCAAAATTGTGAATTTTATGGCCCCAGGGTCAGGGGTTCTGGTGTTAGGGTGGGGCTTTATAGATTATATAGTGAAATTTCATGAATTCTTTGAAAATCTTCTTCTCTGCTCCTGGGTATTAAATAAACTAACTAAGTGCATAGTTATGATGAGCAAGAGTGCCTCTACCAAAATTGTGAATTTGAAGGCCCCAGGATCAGGGGTTCTGGTGTAAGGGGGGGGGCTCTATAGATTATATAGTGAAAATACATGAATTCTTTGAAAATCTTCTTCTCTGCTCCTGGGTATTGAATTAACTAACTAAGTGCATAGTTATGATGAGCAAGAGTGCTTCTACCAAAATTGTGAATTTTAAGGCCCCAGGATCAGGGGTTCCAGTGTTAGGGTGGGGCTCTATAGATTATATAGTGAAAATACCTGAATTCTTTGAAAATCTTCTTTTCTGCTCAAGGGTATTAAATAAACTAAATAAGTGCATAGTTATGATGAGCAAGAGTGCCTCTACCAAAATTGTGAATTTTAAGGCCCCAGGGTCAGGGGTTCTGGTGTAAAGGGGGGGGGGGGGGGGCTCTATTATAGATTATATAGTGAAAATACCTGAATTCTTTGAAAATCTTCTTCTCTGCTCCTGGGTAATAAATAAACTAAATAAGTGCATAGTTATGATGAGCAAGAGTGCCTCTACCAATATTGTGAATTTTATGGCCCCAGGGTCAGGGGTTCTGGTGTAAGGGGGGGGGGGGCTCTATTGATTATATAGTGAAAATACCTGAATTCTTTGAAAATCTTCTTCTCTGCTCCTGGGTATTAAATAAACTAACTAAGTACATAGTTAAGATGAGCAAGAGTGCTTCTACCAAAATTGTGAATTTTAAGGCCCCAGGGTCAGGGGTTCCAGTGTTAGGGTGGGTCTCTATAGATTATATAGTGAAAATACCTGAATTCTTTGAAAATCTTCTTCTCTGCTCCTGGGTATTAAGTAAACTAAATAAGTGCATAGTTATGATGAGCAAGAGTGCCTCTACCAAAATTGTGAATTCTATGGCCCCAGGGTCAGGGGTTCTGGTGTAAGAGGGGGGGGGGGCTCAATAGATTATATAGTGAAAATTAATATATGAATTCTTTGAAAATCTTCTTCTCTGCTTCTGGGTAGGAAATAAACTAAATAAGTGCATAGTTATGATGAGCAAGAGTGCTTCTACCAAAATTTTGAATTTTATGGCCCCAGGGTCAGGGGTTCTAGTGATAGGGTGGGGCTCTATTGATTATACAGTGAAAATACACTAAATCTTTGAAAGTTTTCTTTTCTGCTCCTTGGTATTAAGCAGATGAACTACCTATGTAGTTATGATGAGCAAGGGTCCTAATCTTCCAGAATTGTGTATTTCAAGGCCCCAGGGTCAGGGGTACCATAAAGGAGGGGGGGGGGACTGTACTTATATACTGAAACTGGATGAATTGTTTGAAATCTGCTCCTTGGTATTTATCAAATATTTTTTAAAAGCAAGGGTGCCTTTTCAAAAATTGTGCAATGTGTGGATCTAGGCCTAAGGGTCAGGTGTTCATGTGTGATTGGGGTATTACTGATCATGCTGAATATTACTGATTGCTTGAAATGCATTTTTTGTTCCCCTACCCTGCCTATGGGTATTAAGTAAACAAACTAAGCAACTGCTAAGTGTATTGTTATGATGATCAATGGTGCCTATTTCAAAATTGTGAATGCCATAGCATCTGGATTAAAACATGAATCAAATTCAATCACTGGAAAGTTGTTGCATAATGCTCAGGTGACCTATAAGGCCCATGGGCCTCTTGTTTTAGCTCACCTGAGCAAAAATAGGGGGACATTAAAATATCTTTTTCTCAAGAAGCACTGAACCAAAAACTCTGAAACTTATATGGAAACATCCTGGGATAGTGTAGACTCTAAATTCTTCAAATGATGACCCCCGGGGGTTGCGCGGGGCCACAAGAGGGAATAAAATTTTTACATAGAAATATATTGGGAAAAACTTTAAAAATATTCCATTAAAGAACCACTGGGTCAAAAAAGCTGAAACTTTTGTGCAAGCATCCTTGGGTAGCGTAGACACTAAATTATCAAAATCATGACCCACAGGGTTTGGGCGGGGTCACAATAGGGAATCAAAGTTTTACATAGAAATATATTGGAAAAAACTTTAAAAATCTTCCTCTCAAGAACCACTGCGCCAGAAAAGCTGAAACTTTTGTGCAAGCATCCTTGGGTAGTGTAGACTCTAAATTGTAAAAATCATGACCCCTAGGGGTTGGGCAATGCCACAATAGGGAATCAAAGTTTTACATAGAAATATATAGGAAAGAACTTAAAAAATCTTCTTCTCAAGAACCACTTGGCAAGAAAAGCTGAAACTTATGTGAAAGCATCTTTGGGTAGTGTAGATTCTAAATCATTCAAATCATGACCCCAATGGGATAGGCGGGGCCACAATAGGGAATCAAAGTTTTACATAGAAATACATGTCTGTAGGAAAACAAACTTTGAAAATCATCTCAAGAACCACTGGGCCAGAAAAGCTGAAATTTATGTGAAAGCATATCTTTGGGTAGTGTAGACTCTAAATTGTTCAAATCATGACCCCCACGGGTTGGGCGGGGCCACAATAGGGAATCAAAGTTTTACATAGAAATATATAGTAAAAAACTTTAAAAATCTTCTTCTCAAGAACCACTGGGCCAGAAAAGCTGAATCTTTTGTGGAAGCATCTTTGGGTAGTGTAGACTCTAAATTGTTAAAATCATGACCCCCAGGGGTTGGACAGGGCCACAATAGGGAATCAAAATTTTACATAGAAATATATTGGAAAAAACTTTTTAAAAATCTTCTTCTCAAGAACCACTGGGTCAGAAAAGCTGAAACTTATGTGAAAGCATATCCTTGGGTAGTGTAGATTCTAAATCATTCAAATCATAACCCCAAGAGGATAGGCGGGGCCACAATAGGGAATCAAATTTTTACATAGAAATACATGTCTGTAGGAAAAAAACTTTGAAAATCATCTCAAGAACCGCTGGGCCAGAAAAGCTGAAACTTATGTGAAAGCATATCTTTGGGTAGTGTAGACTCTAAATTGTTCAAATCATGACCCCCAGGGGTTGGACGGGGCCACAATAGGGAATCTTTTACATAGAAATATATAGTAAAAAACTTTAAAAATCTTCTTCTCAAGAACCACTGGGCCAGAAAAGCCGAATCGTTTGTGGAAGCATCTTTGGGTAGTGTAGACTCTAAATTGTTAAAATCATGACCCCCAGGGTTTGGACAGGGCCACAATAGGGAATCAAAGTTTTACATAGAAATATATTGGAAAAAACTTTTTAAAAATCTTCTTCTCAAGAACCACTGGGTCAGAAAAGCTGAAACTTATGTGAAAGCATATCCTTGGGTAGTGTAGACTCTAAATTGTTCAAATCATGACCCCAAGGGGTTGGGCAGGGCCACAATAGGGAATCAAAGTTTTACATAGAAATACATTGGAAAATTGTTTTTAAAATCTCCTTTTCAAGAATCACTGGGCCAGAGAAGCTGAAACTTGTGTGAAGGCATCCTGGGGTAGTGTAGACTGTCAATTGTTCAAATGACCCCCGGGCGTTGGACAGGGCCACAATAGGGAAGAGGGCCTCCTAGGGTAGTGTAGATTCTAAATTGTAAAAATTGTGACATTGGGGGGTATGACTTGGCCACAATAGGTATTACAAGGGAGGAAATCTGGTAAAGAATGACATCACCAAAGTTAATTAGGTGAGCGATGTGGCCCATGGGCCTCTTGTTTTAATTCTTAAAACGTGATCTTTAAAGTCAATCTGTTAAGAAAGATGGGGTATTTAGTATATTTTAACGAAAGTTGGAATGGGCTTTTTAAAGATTTATTATAAATCAAAATGGAGGCACCAAACTTCGACAAATATTTTATTTCGTGGATCAATTCATCAACAAAATCCACAAAAAATTCGTGCTCCAGAGATAATGATAAAACCATGTAACTATACAGACATGTAATATTGCAGGAGAGTTCTGTTTCCCAGCTGTTATTAGTGGACTCACAGACATGTTAAAGGATGAGGACTCAAACATCAGAGCAATAGCCACAATAGCCCTGGCCAAGTCAGGTAATACAAACATCAGAGCAATAGCCACAATAGCCCTGGCCAAGTCAGGTAATACAACCATCAGAGCAATAGCCACAATAGCCCTGGCCAAGTCAGGTAATACAAACATCAGAGCAATAGCCACAACAGCCCTGGCCAGGTCAGGTAATACAACCATCCGAGCAGTAGCCACAATAGCCCTGGCCAAGTCAGGTAATACAACCATCAGAGCAATAGTCACAATAGCCCTGGCCAAGTCAGGTAATACAACCATCAGAGCAATAGCCACAATAGCTCTGGCCAAGTCAGGTAATACGAGGGTTGATCAACCCTCGTACAAACATCAGAGCAATAGCCAAGTCAGGTATTGTAACCATCAGAGCAATAGTCACAATAGCCCTGGCCAAGTCAGGTAATACAACCATCAGAGCAATAGTCACAATACCCTGGTCAAGTCAGGTAATATAGCCATCAGAGCAATAGCCACAATAGGCATGGCCAAGTCAGGTAATACAACCATCAGAGCAATAGCCACAATAGCCCTGGCCAAGTCAGGTTATACAACCATCAGAGCAATGAAGCCACGATAGCCCTGGCAAAGTCAGGTAATACAACCATTAGAGTAATAGTCACAATAGCCCTGGCCAAGTCAGGTAATACAACCACCAGAGCAATTAAGCCACGATAGCCCTGGCAAAGTCAGGTAATACAAATATTAGAGCAATAGCCCTGGCAAAGTCAGGTAATACATGAACCATGATATATAAAAATTGAGGCCAATCAGGTATGACAATCATGATACATGAAAGGTGCAGTGGATATGTGCTTCCATGCCATTTAATATCAGGTGGGCAAGGTCATTGACAGAAAGAGTGTTTATTAATGTCTGGTTCACAACCTTCTTATGCATCAACATTTTAGATATGGATGCCATTGGCAAGAACATGCAGACACGTATATGTAATTAAACTCAAAGTTAAGATTTGTAAATGCATTAATTAGCACTGAATCTAAATTATTTGCACACCTATCAATTTACCAAAATGTTTAGTAAATAAAAAAAAATAAACATCATATGCTGTTACTTATAAAAGATATATTTTTTTTATTTGCTAATTGATAGGTACTTTGACACATACTTAACATACCGTGCAATGCACAGTGAAACATATTAAATGATATTTTTCTTGGGATTTTTAGCTCACCTGAGCCAAAGGCTCAAGTGAGCTTTTCTGATCAAAATTTGTCCGTTGTCTGTCGTCGTTGTCGTTGTCGTCGTCGTTGCTGTTGTAAACTTTTCACATTTTGATCTTCTTCTCAAGAACCACTGGGCCAAATTCAACCAAACTTGCTACAAAGTATCCTTGGGTAAATGGGATTCAAGTTTTTCAAATATATAAGGGCCACGCCTTTACATGACCAAGGGGAGATAATTATGAATTAGAGAAAAATTAATGGCATTTTTAAAAAAATCTTCTTCTCAAGAACCACTGGGCAAGGAAAGATGAAACTCATGAAACAAGTTTATTCAAATCATGACATATTGAATCATCCTCAGGTAGTGTAGATATCAAATTTGTTCAAATCATGACCCCCGGGGGTAGGGTGGGGCCAAAATGGCCGATCAAAGTTTTACATAGGAATATATAGGAAAAATCTGTAAAAATCTTCTTCTCAAGAACCACTGGGCCAGGAAAGATGAAACTCATGTGGAATCATCCTCAGGTAGCGTAGATTCAAGTTTGTTCAAATCATGACCCCCGGGGTAGGGTGGGGCCAAAATCGCCTATCAAAGTTTTACATAGGAATATATAGGGAAAATCTTTACAAATCTTCTCAAGAACCACTGGACCAGGAAAATCTTTAAAAAAAATCTTATATAGGAAAAATCTTAAAAAATCTTCTTCTCAAGAACCACTGGGCCAGGAAAGATGAAACTCATGTGGAATCATCCTCAGGTAGCGTAGATTCAAGTTTATTCAAATCATGACCCCCGGGGTAGGGTAGGCCTATCAAAGTTTTACATAGAAATATATAGGGAAAATCTTTAAAAATCTTCTTCTCAAGCCACTGGACCAGGAAAGATGAAACTCAAATCGTCCTCGGGTAGTTTTATTCAAATCATGTCCCTCCGGAATATATAGGAATATATAGGTTTTAAAAATCTTCTTCTCAAGAACCACTGGGCCAGGAAAGAAGTGGAAATCCTCATAGCGTGTTTGTTCAATCATGACCCCCGGGGTAGGTAGCCAAAATGTCAAAGTTTTACAAGAAATATATGTCTTAAAAATCACTGGACCAGGAAAGATGAAACTCATGTGGAATCAGGTAGGTTTATTCAAATCATGACCTCCGGGGGTAGGATGGGGCGAAAATGGCCGATCAAATTTTTACATAGGAATATATAGGAAAAATCTTAAAAAATCTTCTTCTCAAGAACCACTGGGCCAGGAAAGATGAAACTCACGTGGAATCATCCTCAGGTAGCGTAGATTCAAGTTTGTTCAAATCATGACCCCCGGGGTAGGGTGGGGCCAAAATCGCCTATCAAAGTTTTACATAGAAATATATAGGGAAAATCTTTACAAATCTTCTCAAGAACCACTGGACCAGGAAAGATGAAACTCATGTGGAATCGTCCTCGGGTAGCGTAGATTCAAGTTTATTCAAATCATGACCTCCGGGGGTAGGATGGGGCGAAAATGGCCGATCAAATTTTTACATAGGAATATATAGGAAAAATCTTAAAAAATCTTCTTCAAGGGGCCAGGAAAGATGAAACTCATGTGGAATCATCCTCAGGTAGTGTAGATTCATGTTTGTTTAAGTCATGACCCCCAGGGGTAGGTTGGGGCCAAAATGGCTGATCAAAGTTTTACATAGGAATATATAGGGAAACCTTCTAAAATCTTCTTTTCAAGTACTTCAAAGCCATGCTTAGTGATATTTATAGGGAATCAACCTCAGGTAGTATAGCTTTTGTTCAAATTTTGGGGGTTAAAATTCTCAGTAGGCTTTCAATTCTGATCTGATATGTGTTTTTTCCATAGCCAATTGCTCAGGAGAGCGATGTGGCCCCTGGGCCTCTTGTTTTATTTGTTTATGGATTACATTGGAGTAACCTTTTGTTGATTTCTACCATAAAGTAAAGTGTTTTTGTTAGACATACTAAATTGGTAATAAAATTAATTCCTCTTTGTTTTGGATTAGGGAGAGCCCAGAAGACGACTGTGGAGAAGATAATTGGGATGTTGGAAGATGTTGACAGACTGGTCAGAGAGAGTGCCTGTCTCGCTCTGGGATACCTAAAGGCAGGGGGCAAAAGCGAACAAGCAGTTGCCGATCGATGGTAAAATCTGATGATTTAAGTCATTAAAATTCAGTTACTGAGGAATGCTGAAAATAAATGTTTCAGATGACCGACTGCTTGTTTTTATCATTTTTACCAACAGGAGGAATGATCCAATTAAATCTGTGAGGGAGGCAGCAGAAATAGCACTGAAGAGAATGGGAGGAGACTTGGCCAAAAAGTGTATCCACATCACAGATGTTCTGTCCTCAGAAATGCAGTTCCTAAAGACCCCCATATCCTAAGGGTCCATCAGTACGGGAATATCTACATTCCTTTTCCAACTGTTTTACTAAATTATCTTATAATTTATAGTCAGTTCTTACTTTGAAACTTCATTTGTAGCAACTTGATTGCTGTTGAGGCTTTACAATGTTTCAAAGAAAGTAGTCGGCATTATAAAGCTTCTTGTATAGTAGATATGTAAAAGTTTCAAAAGACATTTTAGGTTGGGCATTATTTTTAATACCATCTTGTAGGCCCCTATTTATATTTATTTCAATCATGTCTTCAGGGGTTTGGTTTGTTTTTCATACAGCCATAATAAGCAGTGGGAGTAAAAGCATGCAATATTCTATATTTTTGTCTTTTTTTTATTTATATATTTTTCCATAATTGCTTTCTACCAAGGTTACTGTACAAGACATTCCTGTGTTGTGTAAAAATTTCCAATCACATCCGTCCATTCATAAGAACCTTATTTTATTAATTTGTCACACTATGATATTTTTGTCACATTATGATATTTTTCAAAGAATGAGTCATATATTTGTACATTGCTTTTATTCTCAGACTGCTAACATATTTTTGAAAATATATATTTTTTTTATTCAGTGTTATTATAAGTCTTAGAATCCTCGTCAAGTTTATGAAGATCTACATGTAGTAGAAAAAGATTTCATGAATCCATTATATCTGTGATAGTTTTTTTTAATGTATTTAATTTTTGTTATACTTATTCATTTTTAGCTCTACTGGTCAGAGACCAAAAGAGCTTATGCGATAGTAATGCGTCCGTCGTCAGTCCGTCCAGCTGTCTGTAAACAATTTTTCAAAATGCTACTCCTCCTACAGTTTTGGTCAGATTTCAATATAACTTGGCACACAAGTAGACTACACTAAGTTACATAGATTAGTACATCGATTTGGAATTTTGATGAACCGTGTTGCCATGGTTACCAAAATTAGAAATTTCTGTGAAATTCCTTGAAAACGCTACTCCTCCTACAGTTTTGGTCTGATTTCAATATAACTTGGCACACAAGTAGACTACACTAAGATACATAAATTATTACATCAATTTTGAATTTCAATGAATGATGTTGCCATGGTTACTAAAATAGAAATTTCTGTGAAATTCCTTTAAAATGCTACTCCTCCTACAGTTTTGGTTTGATTTTAATATAACTTGGCACACAAGTAGACTACACTAAGATACATAATTCTATTTATTGCTGCTTGTTGCAAAGTTTCAAATGCAAGTGCTACCTTTTCTTTGTTATACGTACAGACCAGTAGAGCTACAGTCTCATCTGTCATCAGAGACTTCTGGTGACTTTGAATTCTACTGTTTTTGTTTATTATACCCCCCAAACTAGGCTGTATTTTGATTGGGGTGTCCATATGTCCGTCCACATTTAGGGGTACACATTTCTTATCCACAACCCCTCCTTTACCTGGAGTACAGTAAAACTCGTAAAGTACAAACATGTATATTGTGAATTCATGGATATAGAGAAGTCATCTTGGATCCCCAGCTATATAAATTTAGTGAATTTCTTATAGGGTATAACGAATTACGGATACAGCGAAGTAATTTCATAGGTCCCAGCAACTTTGTTATGACCGAGTTTTGCTGTATGATTCAATGCAACTTTCACAGAATCTTTATTATATAGTACCTTTGTGCAACTCCTGTTTTACGTTTTGATTAGTAAGATATTTTGGATTTTCCTTAGCAAAAAAAATGATTTTGCCCTGATACTCATATGGAAGCACAGGGTACCATTTTGTGAGCACATCGCTCACAGTGCATCTTAGTTATTTTGAGCTTGTAGTAATTTTTTGCGAGTTTTGTTAAATGGAGGATTTATTAAAATAAAGTTTACATTGATATTGTCTATTTAAACTTAATAAATACATATAATATTAAATGAATTAATTGCAAAATGAAGTCAATTAATGATTCAAAATTCTTTATATTCAAAAGAGGCAGTGAGGCACCATGTTGACACATTAAATAACTTTTGTTTTGTTTTGTTTTGTTTTTGTTTTGTTTTTTTTTTTTTTGTTTTGTTTTGTTTTGTTTTGTTTTTTTTTTTTTGCTTTTGTTTGGATCTACATGTATCCCTCATGTTCAAAAACGAAACATTGTACCAAAAATGAGATTGAAGCCAAAATTGTGCACAATAAATATCTATTGTTTCTTTTAAAAGTTCATATCATTATTTTACTATTAAAATCAATAATGGGTGTATCGAGTATTGTGATTTCCATATTCATCATAAACACTGCAGAAATAATCAAAGGGGCGGACTGCCTCTACTGGGAATTTGTAGGTCAAGGTGACCTCCTTTCTCTTTAACTTGGTAGATGAGGGTTGTATTTTCTCAGCTGTGTTGATCAGAACCATGTGATCTGGCACTGGGACGTGGCAGGAGACCCTCATCTGACCGTTTCCTTCCACCACGAGTCGAAGATTTAGCTGATTATAAACATGATTCTTAGATAAGCAGAAGTTTTGTTGTAAAATTTTAGCTCACCTGAGCCGAAGGCTCAAGTGAGCTTTTCTGATCAAAATTTGTCCGTAGTCTGTCGTCGTCGTCGTTGTCAACTTTTCACATTTTTATTTTCTTCTCGAGAACCACTGGGTCAATGTTCAAATATAAGTGGCTAAGCCCTTTCTCGTCAAATTGTTGTTAATAGGAGAACATTTCGCTTATTTATGCTGCCATTTTGGTTTCTAAGATTATGAATAGAGGAGAGAGAAATTTTTTTAAATCTTCCCTTTTTGCAACTGAGGTAAGAATTTGGAAGAAACAATTAGTCGGGTATCTACCATTTCTCTCCGTGTTATTGAAGAAACAAACTGTGTTAAACAAATTCCCCAGTATACTCTTGGCCAGTTGTAAACATTTTTGTGAAAAATTAATGGTATTTTTCAAAAATCTTCTTCTCAAGAACCACTGGGCCAGGAAAGATGAAGCTCATGTGGAAGCATCTTCATGCAGTGTAGATTAAAGTTTGTTCAAATCATGACCCCCGGGGGTAGGGTGGGGCCAAAATGGCCGATCAGAGTTTTACATAACAGTATATAGGGAAAATCTTTAAAAATTTTCTTCTCAAGAACCACTGGACCAGGAAAAATGAAACTCATGTGGAAGCATCCTCATGTAGTGTAGATTCAAGTTTTTTTTAAAATCATGATCCCTGGGGGTAGGGTGGGGCCACAATTGCCAATCAAAGTTTTACATAGGAATATATAGGGAAAATCTTTAAAAATCTTCACTGGGCCAGGAAAGATGAAACTTAAGGGAAATCATCCTCAGGTAGTGTAGATTCAAGTTTGTTCAAATCATGACCCCTGGGGGTTGGGGAGGGGTCAAATGGCTGATCAAAGTTCTACATAGGACTAGATAGGGAAATCTTTTAAAATCGTCTTCTCAAGTACTTCAAAGCCATGAGTAGTGATATTTATGTGGAATCATCCTCAGGTAGTGTAGAGTCTAGTTTGTTCAAATCATAACCCCAAGGGATAGGGTGGGCCACAATGGGGGATCCAAGTTTTACATTAAAATATATATAAATATATATATAATATATATATATATATATATATATATATATATATATATATATATAAAAAAGATCTTCCCAAGAATAGCAAAGCCATGATTAGTAATACTAGTATTTATATGGAAGCATTTTCGGGTAGTGTAGAATTAAATTTGTTCAAATCATAACCCCCAAAGGTAGATGGGGCCACAATGGTGGATCAAAGTTTTACATAGAAAAATAAAGGAAAAAATCCTAAGAACAGAAAAGCTATGTTTAGTCATATTGACATTTAAGCATGCTCATGTTTTGATTATTTAAATTTATTCAAATCTTGGCCCTTTGGGGTAGGGAGGGAAACAATGGGGATTCAAATTCAAATTATTATGAAGTTATATATAGGAAGAGAAAATGTTTTTTAAAAATCTTTTTATCAAGAACAGCAAAGTCATATGCTGTGTTAACATGAAGACAATCTCAAGTAGTATTAAATTTCAAGCCCCCCTCCCTTCAGTGAACTTTTTCAGTTCTGATCTGATTTGTGTGTTTTCCTAGCCGATTTGCTTAGGTGAGCGATGTGGCACCTGGTCCTCTTGTTTAAGTTTTGCTTTTGGTTGAAAACCTGTTTGTGATAGGCCTCTTTTTTGAATTTAAAGAAAATGATAAGCCTTTAATAAGTTTAGCTGAAAGCCATTTTTAAAATTGTCTTGTGCTTAAAGTTGAAGAAACAAGAAATCAAATATCATTAAAGAAAACCAAAAAAAGGAGTCGGTTAATAACTTACTTCTCTGGAACTACTTTCTGTCATCTCTGTAATGTCTTCCAGGAAGGCGGGGCCTGTGTACACTTTAAAGGTGCTCACATTCTTGTCACCTCCTGGATTCTCAGAGAAACACGTGTACTCACCGTCAATTTCTCTGTTCCGTACGTCTTTCTTAAGGAATGTGACATGCGAGGAAGAAAACAAGGGACTCCTGACTTCCTGTATACAGATATTGTCAGATTTTATTATTTGACCACCATCTTTTTTCATGTATACTCTTGGGGCATTTTGCCCAAATGTTTGGCACATTACAGTTGAAGGTTGTGGAAAGGTTTTCCCTTCACTTTCTGATAGGTATACCCCAAAAGGAAGATCTTTACTAATGGATACTTTCTTAACAAAGGAAAACACCATACTCAGTCCAAGGATGATAGGCGCATCGAGAGTGATTTTCAGAAATACCACTTTCTCATTAAGATATGATTTGGGAAAGCTTATCTTTGCCCAGGGTGTGGGCCCAATGGTTATGTTTGCTAATTCGTGTTCAGCAAAAAACGTTTCGTTATTTACAGAATTATCACGTGACCGCGATTCTTTAGATGGTCCAATGTTTCTGTCAAAAGAGCTTTCCCGAAGTCGGGTATCTACCATTTCTCTCCGAGAGAAAAAGTTTCCTGTGCTTCGAGGATTCCTTGACAGCAGCAAACCTTTTCTTTCACCATGATTCTCTACTGGTTGATAATGAATCCTATTATCTGTGTTATTGAACAAATAAACCCCAAACTTAATTCCCCAGTATACTCTTGGCCAGTTGTAAACATTTCTGGAGAGTGCTGGGTCGCAGTTGAAATCAACATTAATTTCATGGATATCTGAAGTTGTTGACGAGAGCTCTGAGAATGTGGAGGTACATTTTCTCAATTGTACAGGGAAAGTTGATTTACTGGGATAATCCTTGCCCCAAGAGAAAGACTCAAGTCGCAGACTGCTGGTATGGTCATCAATTTTAGTGGTAAAATATACTGCTCTAACGTAAGATGAATCCACTGTCAGGGTATAAAGCGTCAGTTGTCCATTTTTCTTCACAAAGGACCCAAATGCCGGCTCATCAACTAAAAAAATGATTTAATTTGATGTAATGACAAACAGTGATGGTCTGTGCCACTCTAAAAATGACAATATCCACTTAACTTTGGTCTTTCCTCTTTTTTGCTTGTTTTTGTCTCTTGCACGTATTGAATATTCCACACTTAAAACAAAATTTAATGAAGACTTTCCCTTCAACCTACGTTTATCAGTATGACCATTGTCTTGCAGGTTTTTGTATTTGTGCATACAGCTGAGTTCTGCTTAAGCCTTTCGTTTATACCTCACTTGGGCTTTGAGCTCAAGAATTGTTGAGTGGATTCAACTTATAGATAACTTATAAGTTATGACTTCCTCGAACTAGTCTGGGGTCGCAAAAAGAAGGTAAACAGTTTTAATAGGAAAAAAACGAGGGAAAATATTTTTAAAATTTATTTTGAGGAACAACAGGGCCAAAGGGGTTCATATGAGCGTTGTGGTCACTCACCAGGTCTGTTGTTTACATATTGCTACTAGTATACATGTATAAATATTCTAGCTGCAGAACTTTAGCGTTATGGTTTTATATATTAGTCTTTGACCATGACGTTAAAGATCCCGCAATGCAAACTACGTAAACTGCAATTTACGGCGCAAGATTTTTTGCGCACTTTTGGGGAGAATTTCTCCACTACTTCCCAGCATTGGCCAATCAACTACAGTTCACTCCCTAATTCCAGACACATTCTGTGACCCTTCTATATTTTATTCACCCTGCAACCCTTTATATTCGTCTCTACAGACGATAAACTGGCTTGTAGTGAATTTTCAGCAATCCAACAAATAATTCTAATCAAGCGAGTTTATCGCTTGTAGAGACGACTATAAAGGGTTGTGAGGAGGATAAAATATACAGATTGGTTACAGAATGTGTCTAGAATCAAAGAGTGATTGACCAATGATGGGAAGTAGAGAAATTCTCCCAAAAAGTGCGCAAAAATCTTGCCCCGTAAATTGCACCTTCTTTGCATTACGGAATCTGTAGCGTTATGGTCAAAGACTATTATATAAAACCATAACGCTACAGTTCTGCAGCTATAAATATTCATGTTCATGTTCCTGGCGTCGCAGAATAAATCATTTGGAAAACACCAGTAAAAACTGTATAAAATATGATTTTGACAATCAATATTTTTCACAAATTTGCAAATAAATGACGATTAACGTAATTGTTACTTCATAAAAACAACAAAATCGATAGAAAATCCTATAAGGAAATGCATTATATATATTTCTACAACAAATATTTGTTTACCACAATAAATGATTGTGAATGATCCATTGTCTATCTGAAAAAATATCAGACAAACACACGGACATTTATGTAAGTCTACTGCAATATCAATTTTTTGACCGCTTACCCCCAATGACACCTGAATTGATTTGCCAGTAAACAGTTAAAGAGAGATCCGCCTGTGGAGCTGCCATCTCCACGGAGATAAAAACTAATCCAGTGGTAGAGTTGTACTGTTTGCTGACCGACTTCACGTAGTTCACGCCATACTTCTGACCCTTTATAATATAAAATAGACAAGTTTAGCAAGCAGACCTAGTTGTTTCTCTTTTATGATGATAAAACACGTATTAAATATTTTGTATATGCCTTTTTGAATTAAATTTTGCGTTGCAGTGAGTTAAAAGAACTAAAACCTGACAGTGTCAAAAATGGCCCTTTATATTAAAGGACTTATACGTACATACACATGTACAGACAGACACAGTAAAATGATCCTTAAATCTTCTGTAAAAATTGAAAACTTCTTGAAATACGCCGAGTCACAAAAAGGTTTTACAGTAAAGTACTTCAGTACAAAGTCTGAAAACATTTCAATCATTATGAGTAACATTTCATTCTTCAATATTCCAATTAAAGGAATTAAAACCATTTTCAATTTCATGGGCGTTATAAGATTTGATCATATGACTGATTTCATGTCATACCCCAATGAAACTCTATAAATGGTATCTTATTTATTAAATATATTTTAAGTTATAAGCAGAATAAAATTTTGCATTTGGTTATAAGTTCTTTTGTTAAAGGGACTCAACTCTAAAGGTATTTTACACTAGTGATAAAGTACATGTCCTAATCTACTTTTGAAATTTCTCTAAAAACTTACTGAATAATCACGTCACAAGGAAATTGTTAAAGGACAGATGGACAATGACATTCTTCAAGGGTTCCGGCGTTTTCATGCAGAGTAATAATTACCTGTATTTCACTTATTTGGCAAAAGAAAGCAACCAGTAGCAGAGCAGTTATCCAAAGAGGTGAAAAATTAAACTCCATGACAGCTGATCATGACAAAAACAATGTAAATATAAGATATAACCTGACAGGTCTTTATACTTTTTTCAAATAAGTCCAAAGGGAAGATATCTATCAAAACTACATCTGAGGTCACGATTTTGGCGACATATGTTTATAAAAACATTTCTCTGGTCTAATTTATTCCTCTAAATCTAACAGTCTAAAAAATAATAAATCTTCACTCTCTTGAAAAGAATTAATTTATTAACTTTAATGTACTAAACAAGAAACATTAATCAGAATCCTATGCATGGACAGTTCAGTCTAAATTTCAAAGTTTTGATGAATATTGACCTCGTTTGTGATAAGGAAAGATTGATTTGCATCACATCAATGCTTCCAGCAAATGTTTATTTTGTTAGTCTGTTACTTTGTCCCTCTGGAAAAATAACTTACAACCATCAGAAAATGGTCCAGATTCGTTCCATCATAGACGAGCAGCTGAACCTAAGTCAAAATGTGCGATTATGTACTTAGAATTTAATTGTCCATACACATCGATTTGAGAATTGAGAAAAAAAATGTATATTATATATCAAAAAACTTTATGCTAGAAGCATTTTGCATACATGCCAATAAACTGCACATAGCAAAGTTAGTTATACTAATACAATAAATACCGGTGTATTTGGATCAAGCTCATTTCTAGTCACACTCTACGTACGTATTTCCTGTTCCAATTTTTTTGGGGTCAAACAGTCTGTTTCAAAAAGTCAGTAACCTTTGAACATTCTCTTTTCCTTTACAAAATGAGTGATTTTTTCTTCTATATTTTACATTCATCGTGTCTCATATTTTGGCTTCCTTTATTATCTTTAAGGTATTTTTTAAATCAAGTGGTGGGATCAGGTGCCTAGGAGAAGTAAGCATCCCCTTTTGACCAATGAGCCCTATGTATTGATCAGGTAGATGGAACTTTCCGTAGTTAACTGAGCAAAAACAAAAATAAAATAATTAAAAAAAACGAAGGCCTAACAATTGATATGAAACAAGTCAAATTAAATACGACCCAATATTTGGTTATACATGTGTTAACAGGATCATAATAACCACCATGATATTTACGATATTTTGACATTTAAACAGGCTGTTTAAATCCTTGTAACACAGACTTAGCAGTGAGAAGTTTATCCCTCTATTTAAATTGATCATATTTAGAGCAATCTCTTGAGTAGCGAACAAGTTGGGAGACATTTATAAACATTATAAGCAGGTGAAAGTGTAAGAAAAGTTGGAAAAGCATCTTGTTTGTCATTCAATTTAGTTTAATTATTGGCCTGTTCTATAATAAGTAAAATATTCAAATTATGAAAACAGAAGTGACTCGGTGGAATTTTTTTATTGCAAGTTTACTGGGGTAAATCGAGTTTACATACGAAAGTAAATACCTATTTACCTACATGTATCCTATCCTCTCAACACAAGTCTTCTCCACTCAGCTCTCTTCTTGGCAATGGTCTCTGCCTCTCCCCAAGTCAAGTGAAGGTCTCTTAGTTCACCATCAACTCTTTTGCGCTTAGTCTTCCCTTTGGCCTTTTCCTGATGTCATGTCCATCTTAGGGCGATTTTTGGGATCCTCGATTCTTCCATTCTAAGGACATTTCCTAGCCATCTTTTAATATCTCCTCTGCTTTAACTCATTGATGATACAATTTGAGTTTGTCCTTTTTAGGAGGTCGACATTCGATATAGTTTTTGGCCATAAGATTTTATATATTTGACGGAGAGAGCCGTGGTGGAAACAGGGCAGTGATCTCATGTTTGCATTTGTACCCTCCAACATTCACTTCCATACAATAGCATTGATGTCATATTGCTGTTTTATAATTTCACTTTTGTTTTCCTCCTGTATTATTTTGATCTTCAGATGATTTATTTTTATTTTTAGAAGACTGCTTTTGCTTTTGCTAGTCTACTCTTGACAATCTTTTAAGTTGGATCTCCTCTATGGGTAGCATTTTCTGCCTCGTCAGCAAGTTGACTGACGAATTTACGTTTGTCATTTCTGGCTAGTCTCTTTCCTTCCTTGTCGTTCTCACTGTAAAGTTTATCGCACAGATTTGGTGTTTAAAACTTTCTTGTCTTTGCTTTTCCTTTGATGTTGTTTCTGGTGTTTTGAGACAACCGCTGTTTATAAATCTTTTCTTTTTCTGTGTCCAAGATTTTTTTTAGCAATTTGCTGGTAGACCTGTTTGATGTTAAGCCACTGACTTTTCAAAGAGCCATCTTCCCTCTCTTAATTAAAGGTTTTCTAAATTAAATTCTAAAGGACTTTATTCGGTAATGACCAATATTTCACCCCAAAATCAAACTTTGACGGAATCAAATGTTCTAAAACAGGGAGATACTAGCATCTGCAGACTTCAAAGCATTGAATATTGTCATAAGCAATGACATCATATGTTTGAAATGACGTCAGAAAAATGACGTAAATTTAGATTTCCATGATTTCTGCAGAAAAGTGTAGTAATTATATAACGTTGATATTTTGAGTAAAATTCATCGAACGTAGGTCTGCTCCAGCTCCGTATTTTGATATATAATGTGTAGAATGATGATATCAATAAAATATGTAAATATTTTTCTGGAGCAGGTCTGCGCTCTATAACTTTTATAGTTAAAATTGTTAATATTTTGTTTATTTTGTCTTATTTCTGAAAAATAATACAAAATCCGACTAGTTTGTGACGTCGTTAAACCAAACATTTTCAATAACCTTCTTTGAAACTACTAGTTTATAATATGTTTTGTCAATTTATACTTCTCATAAAGTATACAATTCAGCACATAGAGGGGAGGGGGGATGGCTGGTGCAACAAATATGCAATATACCGCAGATAGTCCTTTGTTTATCGAATTCTCAGTTCCATACAGTATTTTCTTTGAACACCGTCCTCATTGAGAAACTTAGAGTTGATACCATTTCTCTTTGAATTAATATATTGTCTGATTCCTTCAGTTTCAGTCGCAGTTTATTAATGACAAGGTGGTGATTGCTAATCACGTCTGCCCCTCTGTAGGATCTAGTATTTAGAAATTGTCTTCTCCATTTCCGATCATACGGTCAATTTGATTTTCATCTCTGTTGTTTGGCGAAATCTGATATTTTATGGGTTTCTTTGTGTTTAAAGATGCTTCTTCCAATGACAAGTTCATTTGTGGAGATTTGCCAGCTTGTCACTTTTTTCATTCTTGACTTCAATCTCTTGTTTTTTCATATATCTTTCATGTTGGCTATTGTCATTTTCAATTTTTGCATTTTGGTCTTTCATTATTAAAAGCACAAGTAGAGCTTTTCAAAAAAGCTTACCGTCTTTAGCAACAATTTTAAACAGTAAACAGATCTATACTTAACAGGCCGTATAATTCTTTTGAATTTCTTGATTTTGTATTTCTAAATTAGCTTTTTACGGGCATTAGCCCTACCAGTTGGGTCATCTTCAAAACCTCGGCTGATTCCCATTCACTCTTCTAACAAGAAAGGGGAAAAGAATCAAATTGTAAAACCTGCAAGCAATAACTATCAAATTTTATTTATAATGAAATTAAAGAGACCTTTTTATCTATTGCTATAAAAAATATCACATTATTAAGAAATAATTACTGCTGATTTTGTTCGTTTTGTCATTTTACCAAAATCAACAGATTAAAAACTTTTTAAGATTGGAAATCTTGCAAAATTGTTAAGTCGTACGAAAAATAGATCATCAGAAAGTTATCTCCCTTGCCTTGAACAGCATTTTAACCAATGAAATAATTGAAAATTTTCTCATCATGCAATTTCTATCAATCACAAAAGAGAGGAAGTGCATAGTCCGAAGACTGTAAAAAACTTCAACTATACAATACCGTCTTCCAAGGAAGACGGTAATAATGCTGTGGTGATTTTGTAATTTGAGCTTATAGTGATTCAAAATAAGCATCATTGTTTAAATCTCCAGCACCATTAGTTGGTGCATAGCATTGAATAAGAGTGGCCTTTGCATAGCTGGGCGAGATATGAAAAAGAGACATTGCCACTTTGTCACAATTGATTAAATGTGTCCGTCCATGTTACAATCGCGTATTAAAAGATTGAGGGGCAATATAGCCAGCCATCTATCCTTCTGTATTCAATAAAATGATTAGATAGATTACATGATTAGTGCGTATTGGCCTCTGCTGACAAAGCAGGTAACAACATTGTCTTCGTTTGAAAGACTCATTATTTGAATTATATTTTAGAAGAATTTAGATTTAATTCTAGGAGTGGTTATCCAACATGTACTCATAGTTCCTTTTCTTCGGAAGAAATTCTTCAAAATCATATGTCAGTTTTGAATATGTTTTACTATCCCAAACAACCAAAATGAATTCTAATATTGGACTTAGAAACTTCATAAAAATCCCTACACACAAAGATACATTGCAGGTTCCAGCAAATGTTCAACCAAGCCCCTTTCTTTACTCCTCACTGACATATTAACAGTAATGAAGGAGAAACTTCAAGAGTACTGTGCAACAACATATTTGAGAAATGGTGTAAATCAGATGTGGAGACTTATAAATTCCAAGGGACTTTTTGACAATTTGAAATCAGAAGATTTTACCAAAATCAACAGATTAAAAACTTACGACTTTCGACTTTATACACATCCATTCCCAACGATAAATTAAAGTCCAGACTTTTTTTATATCATTAACAGCTGCTCTTTTCAATAAAAATAGAACTCGTGAATTCACATGTCATTGGTCATTTGCAAAATTATTTTGTTAAAACACATTCTGATTGCACACAAAAGTACTCTGAAGTTGACATCAAAAAGACGCTTGAGTTTCTGATTGACAATATTAATGTGGTTTTTGGAGACCAGATCTTCCAACAATCTATTGGAATTCCCATGGGTAACAATTACGCCCCGTTATAAGCAGATCTATTTTTGTATTTATATGAAGCAGAAGTTGTCCAAAATTAACAATTCCATTCTCATGTCGATAGATAGATAG